AGTTTCCCAGGCTGCTCTTGAACCCGTAGGCTCAGGCAATTCTCTCACCTTGGCCTCCCAGAGTACTGAGATTACAGGCCTAAGTCACTGCGCCTGGCCCTTTGCCTGCTTTTTAACAGGATTATTTGTCTTTTTCCTGTGGAATTCCTTGATGTCAGCAGTGGCAGTAGCAGTGGTGAAACAACCCAATGGAACCTATGTAGTCTGTGCTGGTGTTGGCAGTGGCTATGATGGGTTGGGCAGGCTAGTCCCCTGAACCTGCTGGTAATAAGTGTAGGTGAGTGCCAGCTGTGATGGCATCCACAGATTGGGTCAGCTCAACCTTAGACCCCAGCAGGAGTGATCAGGTACCAACTGTGGTGGCCCGTGATGGGTGAATTCCAGGCCCCCCTATGGTATGCTTGAGTACAGGGGGAATGGGACCAAGCCGGCAGACTTGTCCTCAGGCCCCTGGTAGTGCGTTCAGGTGCTGGTTGTAAAAGGTGGAGGCAGGGTGGTCTCCAGGCCACAGGCAGAATGCTCAGGTGTGCTGCAGACCTCCCCTCTCAGCTGCAGTAGCACAGGCAGGCAGCTGTAGGGAGTGCCCTTTGCCTGTGCCTTGGCCCCACAGCAGCCCACAGCAGCAGTGATGGTATTTGTCCTAAATGTGCCCAGCCTTTCCCTCTCCCTCTTCTGCCCAGTGGTGGCAGTGTCAGCATCGGTTTGGCCCCATAGAAGGGCAGAAACCCTCACGGGCTAGGCCCTTGAGAATGGTACCAAGTTTTAGCTGCTCTAGGTTCAGACGCCTGTGGGACTTTACATGAGTTCCCTCTTTAGAGCCAAGTCTCTGTGCAATCTCTAGGCAGCTTCCTATGTTAGGTTCGAGGCCCATGAGGAGTGAAGGGTTCTCCTGTAGCCAAGATCATAAAAGATGACGTTGGGGCTGGGAGTGGTAGTTCACACCTGTGAGTTCAAGACCAGCCTGGGCAACATAAAAAATAAAAAATAAAAATAATCAGCCAGGCATGGTGGCACAAGACTGTAGTTCAGCCTGGGTGACAGAACCAGTCCTTGTCTCTGAAACAAAAACAAGAAAAAGTCCATGGCAGGAGTGTTGAACTCTAGGGTTTTCTCCCAGCTCCCAAGCAAGCTGCCTGGCTTCTCTCTCCTTACTTACTTTTGGTGCTTCTTGTCACTTTTCTGTTGAATTTCAATGTTCTCTCTCAGATAATCTAGTCAAACATCAATTTGCTGTTTTCGTTCTCCATGGAGGAGGCATGCACTAGCTGCATCTAGTCAGTCATCTTGAACCCTCTCCCTGTTGTTATTTGGAAAGCAACATACTAATCTTGTTCTCCAGACTCAACCTACTTTGTTATTTACATTTGGTAGAATTGTGAAGGATTTAGTTCATTTCTTTTCATCTATGTAATTGGTGTACAAAACAACTTCAACATATTTCAATATTTTTAGCATTAGAAACTCAACGTAAAAGGGGTGCCCCCACAAACTTGGAATTATCTTTTGAAGGGTGAGCCCCTCGTAGTACAGACTTCCTCTGCTAGTTAGTGTTCTAGGATCCCATTGGCATCAATGTGCCAGCTAGCGTTATTGTGAGAGGCTGCATTGTGGAAGAAACATCCTGAGTTGTGGCAAACAGGCAACTGGTTCTTCCATCATGACAACACATCTGCCTACATTACGCCGAGTGTTCAGCAGTATTTGTGTGTGTGTATGTTTTGAGTCGGAGTCTCACTTTGTTGCCCAGGCTGGAGTGCAGTAGCATGCTCACAGCCACCCCAGCATCGACCCACTGGACTCAGGCAATCCTTCCACCTTAGCCTTCCAAGTAGCCAGAGCTACAGGTGCGTGCTACTATGCCCAGCTAATTTTTTATTTATTGTAGAGATGAGGTCTCACCAAGTTGCCCAGGCTGTTCTCAAATCCATGGGCTCAGGCAATCCTCTGACCTTGGCCTCCCAAAGTGCTGGGATTACAGGCCTGAGCCACCGTGCCCAGCCAGTGTTTAGCAGTTTTTGACCAAAAACAGGATTGACCTCTTGCACCCTCTCCCTATTCACCTGATCTTGCTGCAAGTGACTTTTCCCCTTTGTTTCCCTGCATAGAAAAAGTCCTCAAAGGGAAATGTTTTGCCGAAGTGAAAGATGTGAAACAAAAATTGGCAGAAGCACTAAAAGGCATCAAAACTGACGAGTTCAAAAACTGTTTTGAGCAATGGAAAAAGTATCTCAATAGGTGTATTGCATTGAACGGACAGTACTTTGAAGATGTTTAAACATGAAAGAAAACACTTTTTTAAATAAATGACTTTTTAGGGGGTCCTCCCAAAATATAAGATAGAGACACGTATAAACTATATAATGATAATGAAATGGTATTCCTCCTATAAAGGTAAAACATTTTATATTTAGGAATATAATTAAGTATAGCTTAATTTAAAGATGCTGTAAATTACACACTGAATTATGAATAAGGTATTCTATGTAGGGTTTATGATATCCATATCCATATCTTGGTATAGCTTCTTCAAAACAATCTGGCAATATCATATGTGGTCATTAGCGAATTACTCCAGATGTGAAATCATTCCTCATATTTATTATGACACTGTTAAATTCTCTTTGAATAGTTCAAATTCTTCTTTAAAAATAGATTTTTCCAAATTCTCTCTTTTTTCCCTAAGACCTATAATATTTATTTTAAGGACACATATAATTTTACCAAACATTACTCTTTATTGCTATCTCTAGTCTTATAGTTTAAGATCATATTAGGGAAAGATTATGTGAGTTATGTACACAGCATCAAGCAATTAGGTTGAACTAGTGTTTTAATTTTCATAGATTTTTTGAAAAATAATTGTTACAAGGTAAATCCTATGGATTGCTAGTGTTTCAGTACATCTTATGAGCAAGATACTGACTGCTCTTAGTTCTAGACTTCCTTCTCAAGTGGTATTTATAGTTAGTTCCCTAAATATGAATGAATTCCATTCCAAGAGTGCGTTCATGAGTCCAATTTGTTCATAAGTCCCACTTTGGGAGGCCAAGGCGAGTGGATTGCCTGAGCCTGCGGGTTCGAGACAAGCCCGGGCAATGTGGCGAAGTCTCTACAATAAATCAAAAATTAGCCAGGGGTGGTAGCGCGCACATGTAGTTCTGGCTACTTGTAAGGCTGAGGCGGAAGGATCTCCAGAGCCCAGCTGGTCGACACTGGGATGGCCCGTGAGTGTGCCACTTCACTCCATCCTCGGCAACGGAGACCCAAAAAAAAAAAAAAAAAAAAAATCTTTGCACAGACATGTACGTTTTCAACTCATTTGGGTAAATATCTAGAAGTTCAACTGCTGAATGGTACAGTAAGGCATGTTTTGTTTTGTAAGTGCCAACTTATCATTCAAAGTGGCCGTGTACCATTCTGCATTTTCACCAGATATGTGTTGCTTTAATTTACATTTCTTCATTCATTCATTCAACAAGTATTTATTTGCCTATTTTGTGCCAGGCTGTCATAGGCAGTAGGACACAGCTGTAAACAAAATAAACAACATTGGCTATTCTTCTGGAACACACATCCTAGTTAACAACAAATTCAAAAATAGCATGTTACATTGTAAAAAGTAGTATAGAGAAAGGCTGTATGGAGAAAAAGAAAAGTGTACATATGTATGGTTAATTTTAATTATGGCAGTCAGAAAAGGCCTCACTGAGAGGATGACTTATAAGCAAAACACCCAAAGGACATGAAGAAGACCCGTGCAAATAACTGGGGGAAGAAGGTTCCAAACAGAGGTGACAGTAAGTGAAAAGGCACTGAGGCAGTTAAGTCAGTGTGTTCAGGAAATAGCAAAATGTCTAATATGACTTCGGGAGAATAAGAGATAAGACAGGAAGATGGAGTAGGTAAGAGGATCTTGTAAAGCCTTGAGAACCATTATAAAAACTTTGGTTTTGTCAGATAAGTTACTTAAGGTTACAAGTATGTATCAAATGTCATAAAAGAGAGCCACAGGTTTGACCAGGAGACTGGGGAATAAACTTGCATGACAAAAGTGTTAGTTCTTAGGATGGGAATCCCCTCAGTAGCGGCCAAAAGTAGTTTTGTAAGTCTTCTAAGTTACAGTATTGATAATGCCGGTAGAGATTTGGGGCTAAAGCCTAACCTACTGTCTTTTTAGCTTGTCGCACAAAGTACCCACCACGTCACGTCTTGCTAGAACAACTATAGTCCTTGTTCTATGTACTATATAGTACAATGCCCTAGACACGACTAGCCAGGGAAAGACTCCCTGGTTTTTTCGTTTTTTGTTTTTCTCTGAGTTGGAGTCTCATTCTGTCCGCCCAGGCTGCAGTGCAGTGGCACACTCACAGTTACCGCAGCCTCAACCTGCTGGGCTCGGCGATCCTTCTGCCTCAGCCTTTCAAGAAGCTGGAACGACAGGCGCGCGACCACTCCCAGCTAATTTTTTGATTTTATTGTAGAGACGCGTTCTGGCCAAGTTGCCCAGCCTGGTCTCGAACCCCTGGGCTCAGGCAGACTTCTGTCTCGGGCTCCCAAAATGCTGGAATTACAGTTGTGAGCCACCTCACCCGACGAAAACTCCCTGTTACTGTTCTGGGTAGCAAATTGTGCCCTTAGGGACGACATTTTTTATTCTGGGGGAATAGGAGTTTGATGAGGAAACTCCAGGAGTCGACCCCAAAAGAAGGTGAAGGGAAGACCTGCTCGCGGCCGCCCTCTGGCGGATAAAAGAAACGGCCGCCCTATTCTTGAGAGACACAAAAGGGGCAAAGAAGGGCCCTCTACTAAGGCCCTTCTGAGCGACAGACTCCCGCGCAAGTCGCCAGGTGCCCACCAGAACTTTCAAAAGTGCCGCGCCTGGGACGCGACCCACCTCCACGCACGTCAGCGAGGCTTTCCTTGCACCACCCTCAACTCCAAGTCGACCGGAAGGAGTCTCCCGGAAGTGGGCGGTGGCGCCGGGGGGATGACGCAGAGGCGTCGCGCCTAAGGTGACGCGTGGCGTAGCCGACTCCGCGCTGATCCTGTCACCGCCCCGACTCCCCCCCCCACGGGGCTTGTTGCGGAGGAGCCACCGGCGCCATGGCGGTTCTGCTGGAGACCACTTTGGGCGACGTCGTCATCGACTTGTACACGGAGGAGCGGCCGCGCGGTGAGACCTGCGCCCCGCTCGCCTGTCGCCGGGGCCCCCAGCTCGTTTCCCTGCTGTCCTTTGCGCAGTCCCCGGCGGCGATTGGCTCGCGACTCTGGGCTGCTGGTGCCCGCGGTCGAGCTGTTTTATTAGCCGGCCTTAGTTAGAAAAGTTTCCTTGAGTGAGAGTTCGTTTGATCCCCAGCAGCCCTTCTCCCGTGTTCTTGGGTTGGCCAGTTGAGGGGACAGTGCTTGCAGTCATCAGTTGCCCCTGGGGTCATGTGTGATGCAGACTGCATATACAATACCCATGGCATTTGTGGCTTTTACTTTGCTTTTTCGTGAGAGGAACACAACTGTTGCTTGGTGTGTAATCCCAATTAAGTCTTGATGGAAAGCAAGTAGGATGTGCTTGGCGTAGCGAGTGTGGACATCCCCCCTGGGTGGAGCAAGGAGTCGTCCGGAGTGTGAACCGAGCCTGCAAGGCACTGAACTAAGCCCTGGGCTTGGCGTCTTGACCCTGGGCGACCGGGAAATCGACGCAGGAACCCATTTTAATTTTGTTAAGTGTCGTGGTAGAAGGATGTAGGTTGCCATGGAAACCAGAGGAGGGAGTAATTCACAGGTAGAGGTGGGAGAATTCGAAGCGAGCGATGACTGTAGAATTTCTTTGCTTGGAATTTTCTGAAAACAGCAAGTAGTTTGGCGTGGCTGGAAGGAAGGGTATTGCTTTGAATGGCAGACTGCGAGTCTGATCAGATACGTTTGGGCCAGGCGTGAAGTCTTGTGTGCCCTGATGATCAGTCTTTGACGGTATTAAAAGCAGGATTGAGGCATTGTACTTGTTTGGGGTCGCAGATAGCAGCAGTGCGGAGAATGTATCAGAGTAGGAAGAAACCGCAAGACCAGGAGAGACTAGTTACAAACACGGCCCTGCCCCCGTTGGATGCAGAGCCAATTAAAGAGATGAAACAAGCCGCAGTACTGTGCAACAGTTGTCTCCTGCCATACTACACTATCTCCCACTCTCAACTCTTTCTCTTCCCCCAATAAAACACTACCAACTCTCCCATGCCGTCCTTGCCATTCTCTTCCTGTTGCCTCAAACCAACACTGCTCTCCACTCTTGACTGTCTGGCAAACATCTTGCTTGCTTACATTTTAGATAAAGCATGAGCTCTTCTGTGAAGCTTTCCTCCTCTCTAAGCAGAGTTACCTGTTTCTTCTGCTTTGTCTCAGGTCTTTTTATAAACCACACGACGCAAATTTTAGTATAACATTTGCCCGTTATCCTGAAATTATTTGCTAGTCTTGTCTCCTTTCAAGATGGTAAGCTCCAGTGAGAGCAGGAACTGTACCTTTATTATCTCTATATCTTGAGTACCTCCTACAATGCCTTCTACTTTGGGAGCACACACTAGAAGTTCATTATGTTGACTAATGCATAACATAAATGTGTTGTGTTAGTTGAGACTCTGGAAGTGATAGAAACCTAACTCAAATTGGCTTAAAGGAAATGATTGATTGCCTCATGTTACTGGGGTAAGGTTAGCTTTTAAGGATGACTGAATCCAGTGGTCAAAAAGATATTATAGGGAATTTTGTTTTTTATCTTTTATCTTTGAGTTTCTTTGACCCCCCCCCCCCCCAATCTCCATGTAGAGGAGAACCTGGCAAAATGAGTGGGCCTCTTTCCCCAGGGTTGTGATGAACTAAAGGGGAGGTAGGACTATCTCACCTAATTAACAAGCTGTGATTCTGCAAAGACAGCCTGGAACACTAGAAACATAAGTCCACTCTGTGTGTACTTATCTGTCAGCATATGATTGGATATCTACGTATATGTGAACTTAGCAATCTGTAGTAAGCTTATGTGAGCTTACCTTTCTTCCACCCTCTCTTTCTTCCTTTTCTCTTTTTTGCTTTTTATTATATAAATTTAAGATGTACAGAAGTAGAGAGAATAATGTAAATAAACTCTCATCTCCATGACCAATGTTGTTTAACAGTTGTTAACACATTGCCAATCTTGTTTCATTTATAATACCCCCTCTCCACTGACTTTATGTAATCTTTCATTACTGCAGTATGTATCGCTAAAAGATAAGGACCTTTTAAAGAAAGCAGAATCATAAATCATTGTCACTCCTTAAAAAAATTGGCACTAATTCCTTAGTATCGTTTAAACTTTCTTATCTCATGAACACTTTTAAAAAATGGTATTAGGTCAGCGGCAGTGGCTCATGCCTGTAATCCCAGCACTTTGGAAGGCTGAGACAGGAGGGTTGCTTGAACCCAGGAGTTCAAAACCAGTATGGGCCTTATAGCAAGACCTTGCCTCCACAAAAAAATCAAAAAGTTAGCTGGGCATCATACTGCACACCTGTAGTCCTAGCTGTTCAGGAGACTGAGCTGGAAGGATTGTCCGAGCCAAGGAAGTCGAGGCTGTGGTGAGCCATGATCATGCCACCGCACTCTAGCCTGTGCTACAGAATAAGACCCCAGGTCAAAAGAAAAGAAAAGTTGTAATTAGGAACAAGGTCTGTATATTATATTAGCTGATATATCTCTTAAATAGTATGTCTTAATCTACGAATCCCTCACCCTCCTATTTTTCTTGAAAAAAATTTCTTGAAAAAATCTTGAAAGAATCTGAGTCATTTCTATTGTAGAATTTTTCTTATTTTGGATTTGACTATCTCTGTGTTGTATCTTTTAACATGTTCCTCTATCCCTTTTATTTCCCATAAGTTGCTACTTAGATCTAGAGCCTTGATCAGATTCAAGTTTAACGTTTTTTGGCAAGAATGTTTCATAAAAGACCACCTCTACTTTCAGCTGCATCAGGTTCAGGAGGCACTTGATGTCTGGTTGACTCTATTTGTGAGGTTAAAATTGGTCAGTGGGTTTAAGCCTGGTCAACCTAGTAAAATGTTCCCATCAGCTTTTCACCTACAAATTTGGCAGCCACTGATGATCACTGCCAAGACCCATAATTTTTATCTTCTAGTGAAAGCACTACCCCTATTTGCCTAACTGTAAGCCCAGAAATAGACTCAAGAAAAACAACGGAAAGCCTCATACTCAGCACTCTCCATCATCTTGGACCCTCATCTCTCCAGCCTTTTCACCCCCTGTTACTCTGTAATAACATAGAGTACAGAACTTCGACTGGTCTTTTGGACTCCCCCAAAACATTTAAATACCCACTTCCAGGCATTTTCATAATGCCTTACCAGCACAAAATGCTCGTTCTTTACCCAGTTTTTTTAGTGCTTGCCTTAAGCCTCCATAGGGTCTTCTAATTTCCCCAGCCAGAAACAATCTTTCTTTTGAACTCTTGTGGCATTTTAAAAATGACTTTTAACTGTTTTCCTATTTGGCACAAATGGTATTATTAGATTTGCCCAGTATTGTAACTACTTATGTTGAATATGTTGAGATATAAAGGCCCTAGTTTAGTGTAATCTCCTTGAGGGCAGGAACTACCTCATATGGGGGGGGGAACCCCTGGAATTTATTTATAAAAAATTGTATATTGTATATTTATTCTTATATGTTTAAAATTCAGTCACCTTCAAAGTATTCTCTGTTTGATGCAATACACCTGTGGAGATGCTTTTCCACCACTCAAGTTTTTGAACTCGTCAGTTTTAATGCCCTTTAGTGCTTCTACTGTTTTTTGTTTCACCTATTCCACATTGGCAAAGCGTTTACCTTTGAGGATTTTTTCCATTCAGGCAGACAAAAAAAGTCACTTATGGCAAGATCAGGTGAATAGGGAGGGTGAGGCATGGGGGTCATGCCAGTTTTGGTTAAAACTGCTGAACATTCAACATAGTGTAGGCAGGGGCGTTGTCTTGGTGGAAGAACCAGTCACCTGTTTGCCACAACTTGGGATGTTTCCTCCGCAGTGCAGTCTCTCACAACAATGCTAGCTGATACATTGATGATGTTGGGTTCGTAGAACACTTACCTAGTGGGGGAAAGTCTGTGCTACAAGGGGCCCACCTCCCAATAAGATAATTCTGTTTTTGAGGGTTGCCCCTTGTATATCTTACTGTCTGGTTTCTAACTTAGGGCCTGAAGAACTTGTTGGCAGTCTTGCTACAGCTAGACTGTACACTTGTTGAAGGCAGGGACCAGGGTTTAATGGCATTTGTGATGGCAGTGCCATGCATCTTGAAGGTACTCAGTAAATGTTTGTTGGATAACCAGATGAGTTTATATGGGAAAACTTCTTCATGATAAGTGTATGGATTTTTGGGAAGGGCTATTTAACTATTGTAAAAAAAAATTGTCTTTGAATGTTTGACTTTTTTTCTGATTTATATAATCTCTGCCTATTTGCTTATATTCTACTAGAGCCTTTCCCATTATTATTCTCTTTAATTGTTCTTTTTTCTTTTAATAAAACCAATCCATCAGTAAATGATTGTTTATCTCAGATAAGTATCTGTTTCCTACATCAACTCAGATGCCCAAAAAGTCCTAAAAAATGAAAATAAAAAGATAACTTAAAATGTGTTACTTTTTTTCTAGACTTGCTACTTTTTTTATGGCTTTGAACATTTGGACTTTTAAAAAAATGGTAGTTAAGAAATTCAAATAACTGTATTTTAACCTGTCTAAAATTTTGTGGATTATCATGATAAATTTAGTATTTACTTTCTTTCAGCCTGTTTGAATTTCCTGAAGTTGTGCAAGATAAAATATTACAATTATTGCCTTATTCACAATGTACAGGTGAGTTGGTAGATATTAGTCATGTCCTTTGTTATGGGAACCTTCTAGCAAACTCTCTAATTAATAAAGAATCCTGTGCATTATAGAGGGATTTTATCATACAAACCGGTGATCCTACAGGGACTGGCCGTGGAGGAGAGTCTGTTTTTGGGTAAGTTATTTGATATTTATTTATTTATTTATTTACAGTCAGAGTTTCACTCTTGTCTCTAGGCTGGAGTGCAGTGGCATGATTACTGCTATGGCAGCCTTAACCTACTGGACTCGGGTGATCCTTCTGCCTCAGCTTTCCAAATAGCTGGGACTACAGGCGTGTACCACCACACCTGGCTAGTTTATATGTTTATTTATTGTAGAGACATGGTTTTACCATGTTTCCCAGGCTGGTCTTAAACTCCTGGACTCAAGCAATTCTCTTGCCTCAGCCTCCCAAAGTACTGGGATTACAGACACAAGCCACTGTGCCTGATTGCTCTTTTATTTTTAAATGAGGAAAAGTAGAATTGTTCATGTTTCAATCTATATTTTAAAATAAAGTTCTAATTTATGTTTTTTTCTCAAGTTCCCTAAATGTCTACACCAAAAAAGAAGAATGTTTTGAATCGTAGTGGCATTTCTGTAGATAAATTTGTTTTTAATCCTATTTGTTATTAGTACTACTATATTTCATTTTGAGAATACTTATGTTTCATAACCTTATTATATGTATTTTCAGTCAACTGTATGGTAATCAAGCAAGCTTTTTTGAAGCAGAAAAAGTACCAAGAATTAAGCACAAGAAGAAAGGCACTGTGTCCATGGTGAACAATGGCAGTGATCAGCATGGATCTCAGGTTAGGAAATGGGTGAGGAGATGAAGTTTGCTTAGAATAGGAGGACTGGAAGGAGCCCACAAGGTTATCTTCTTAAACTATTCTGTAAGGAGGGAGTTTCAATCAAAGATACTTGTTAGGAGAAAAAAAAATGCTCTTTTTTCTATATTAAAATAAAAACATTTTGTTCTTTTAAGTGTAATGTATGCTCATTGTGAGGCACTTATAAAAAGTACAGAAAAGTACAAAGAAGGAAATTACCCATAACCCTATCACCCATGACTATCATTGTTCACATTTGTGGCCTGTTGCCTTTCAGTGTTTATTACTTATTCTAAAATAGGTTATGCTGCATACCTTTCATTTGTTGTCTTGTTTAATCCTAACAACCACCCCATTAGGGTAGGTGCATTTATTTTCCACTGTATACACATGGAAAAACTGAGCCCTGGTTTGTCCAAGTACTTTTTATTCGTTTATTTATTTATTTTTGAGCTGGGGTCTTATTCTGTTGCCCAGGTTGGCATGCAATAGCACAATCATGGCTCACTGCAGCCTTGACCTCCTGGGCTCAGGTGATCCTTTCCCCTCAGCCTCCTTTGTAACTGGGACTACACGCACACACCATCACATTCGACTAATTTTTTTGTAGAGATGAGATCTCACTGTGTTGCCCAGACTGGTTTTGAACTCCTGGGCTCAAGCAATCCTCTGTGTCAGTCTCCCAAAGTGCTGGGATTACAGATTCGAGCCACCATGCCAGGGGAATCCAAGTATTCTAAACAATCAGGGAAACATCTGTGTACATGTTGATATTTTATATACAGGCATATCTTGGAGGTATTGTGGTTTAGTTCCATACCATTGCAATATAGTGAATATTGCAGTAAAACGAATCACATGAATTTTTTGGTTTCCCAGTATGTATAGAAATTTACACTATACTATGGTCTGTTAAGTGGTCAATAACTGTATGTCTAAAACAATGTACTTCCCTTAACTTAAAAATACATTGTTGCTAAAAAATGTTAACGATCATTTGAGCCTTCAGTGAGTTATAATCTTTTTGCTGGTAGAAGGTCTTGCTTTGACGTTGATGGCTGTTGACTGATCAGGGTAGTGGTTGCTGATGGTTGGGGTGCTTGCGCTAATTTCTTAAAATATGACAGCACTGAATTTTGTTGCATTGATTGACTCCCTTTCACAAAAGATTTCTCTATAGCACGTGGTGCTATTTGATAGCATTTTATTCACAGTAGAATTTCGAAATTGGATTCAGTCCTCTCAAATTCTTCTACTGCTTTGTCAAATAAGTTTATATAATATTCTAAATCCTTTGTTGTCATTTCAACAATGTTTTCAGCATCTTCACCAAGAGCAGATTACATCTCATCTTTCTTATAAGAAGCAACTCCTCATGCATTTAAGTTTGATCATGAGATTACAGTAGGTCAGTCACATCAGGCTCCATTTCTAATTGTAGTTCTCTTGCTATTTTCACTACATCTGGAGTTACTTCCTCCACTGAAGGCTTGAACCCCTCAAAATCGTCCCTGTGGGTTGGAATCAACTCCTTCACACTTCTATTAAGGTTGATATTTTGACCTCCTTCCATGTATCAGTGATGTTCTTATTGGCAGTTAGAATGGTAAATTATTTCTAGAAGATTTTCAGTTACTCTGCTCAGATCCATCAGTTGAATCACTGTCTGGCAGTTAAAGCATTACAAAATGTGTTTCTTAAATAATAGGACTTGAAAGTTGAAATTGCTCCTTGATCTACAGCCTTCATCTCCTTGTACAGCTCCAACAGAGCTCTTGAGTAATGAGATGAATTGTCAAGGAGAAGCAGTATTTTGAAAGGAATCTTTTTTTCTGAGCAGTAGGTTCAGTAGTGGGCTTAAAATATTCAGTAAACAGATGTGCTGTCATCCAGGTTTTGTTATTCCATTTGTAGAGCACAGGCAGAGTTGAATTAACATAATCCTCAAGGGCCTTAGGATTTTCAGAATGGTAAATTTGGCTTCCGCTTAAAGTTACCAACCGTATTGGCCCCTGTCAAGAGAGTCACCCTGTCCTTTGAAGCTTTAAGTTCAGGCATTGATTTCTCCTCTCTAACTATGAGAAATATGAGGTGGTGTCTTCTTCCAGTATAAAGCTGTTTCATCTACTTTGAAAAACTGTTGTTTTGTGTTTTTTTGTGATCTTTACTAGGTATTCTGGGTAAATTGCTGCACCTTCTATATATATCTTCTACTTACTGCTTCACTTGTGCTTTTAAGTTATGGAGATAGCTTTCCTTAAACCTTATGAGCCAGTCTTTGCTTATTTCACATTTTTCTTCTGCAGCTTCCTCAATTCTCTTAGCCTTCATAGAATTGAAGAGAATGGAGCCTTGCTTTGGCTTAAGAGAATGTTGTGACTGGTTTGATCTTCTATCCAGACCACTAAACCTGTCTCCCTATCAGCAGTAAGGCAGTTTCACTGTCTTATTTGCATGTTCACTGGAGTAGCACTTCTCATTTCCTTCAAGAACTTGTCCTTTGCATTTACAACTTGGCTAACTGTTTGGCATGAGAAGCCTATCTTCCTCCCTAAGCTTAATCATTTCTTTCTTTTTTTTTTTTTGAGTCTCACTCTGTCGTCCAGACTAGAGTGCAGTGGCCGCTCCCGGCCACCGCAGCCTCGACCTGCTGGGCTCTGGCGATCCTTCCGCCTCAGCCTTCCAAGTAGCCAGAATTATAGGCATGCGCTACCACGCCCGGCTGATTTTTTTATTTATTGTAGAGATGAGGTCTTGCCTGCCCGGGCAGGTCTCGAACCCGCGGGCTCAGGCAATCCACTCACCTCAGCCTCCCAAAGGCGCGGGATTTACAGACTGAGCCACCGAGCCCGGCAGCTTAATCATTTCTAGCTTGTTATTTAAAGTGAGAGGTATAGGCTGGGCGCAGTATCTCACTCCTATAATCCCAGCACTTTGGGAGGTGGTGGCGAGAGGATTGCCTAAGCGCTCGGGTTCAAGACCAGCCTGGGCGACATGGCGAGACCTCTACGATAAATAAAAAAATTAGCTGGACATGGTGGCATGTGTCTGTAGTTACAGCTGCTAGGAAGACTGAGGCAGAAGGATCGCCTGAGCCCAGCAGATCAAGGCTGTGGTGGCTGTCAGTATGCCACTGCACTCCAGCCTGAGTGACAGGGTGAGACTCTACTCAAAAATAAAATGAAATAAAAAATAAAGTGAGAGGTGTACCTCTCTCTTTCACTTGAACACTTAGAGGCCATTGTGGGATTATTAATTGGCCTTAATTTCAGTATTGTTGTATCTCAGGGAATAGGGAGGCCCAAGGACAGTTGGAACAGCTGGTCAGTAGAGCTGTCAGAAAACACACAACTTTCATAGATTAAGTTCACCATCTTATATAAGTATGGTTCATCGTGCCCCGAACCAATTACAATAGTAACATCAAATGTCACTGATCACAGTGACGTTTGATATCACCATAATGAATATATAATAATGAAAAAGTTCAGAATATTGAGAGATTTATGTAAATCTGACAGAGACATGAAGTAAGCACATATTATTGAAAAAATAACAGTGATAGACTTGATCAACACATAATTGGCACAGAACTTCAAAACAAAACAAAAGCCCCAACATCTGTGAAGTGCAATAAAGTGAAGTGCAATAAAACAAGGTGTGCCTGTATACACTTTGTACTTTTTACTTATTTCTGGTAACAAATGTGTAAGGAATAGTGTAGCAAATAGAGAATCTTCTGTGTATTTTTTTTTTTTTTTTTTTGTCAATCTGTAACTGATTTCAGTTTGACTTGTATACACACACACATATATCTGTATTTATTATGTCTGTCTTTATAGTTTCTTATTACCACGGGAGAAAATCTAGATTACCTGGATGGTGTTCATACTGTGTTTGGTGAGGTGACAGAAGGCATGGACATAATTAAGAAAATTAATGAGACCTTTGTTGACAAGGATTTTGTTCCATATCAAGATATCAGGTATGGTTACAGTTCACTATGTGAATATACTAGAATGTTTTAATACTGTGATGTTTGACATGTAGTGGTATGGACTGGTTTCTGAATAATTCCAAAATGTGAATACAAGGCTATAATAATTCTTATAATAAAAAGGACCCCCTTCAAAATAATTTTTGTTTTTGTTTTTGTTTTTTTGAGTTGGAGTCTCACTCGGTTGCCCAGACTGGAGTGCAGTGGCCGCTCCCGGCCACCGCAGCCTTGACCTGCTGGGCTCCGGCGATCCTTCCACCTCAGCCTTCCAAGTAGCCAGAATTACAGGCATGCGCTACCACTCCTGGCTGATTTTTTTATTTATTGTGGAGATGAGGTCTCGCTGCCCAGGTGGGTCTTGAACCCGCGGGCTCAGGCAATCCACTCACCTCAGCCTCCCAAAGGTGCGGGATTACAGGCTGAGCCACCGAGCCCAGCTCAAAATAATTTTTAAAAGACAGAGAGAGATAGAAAGGGAGAGAGATGGAGTCTCACTGTGTTGCCCAGGATGGAGTATAGTAGCTATTCACAGGTGTAATCACAGTGCACTACAGCCTTGAACTACTGGCTTCAAGTGATCCTTCTGCCTCAGCCTCCTGGATGCCTTATGTATTTTTATACTTGTATTATTTATAATTTCTTATGCTGAGAGCAGTTATTAGGATTGTAATTTAGTTTGTTTTTAATACAAATTATTGAGAAATAGGGCAAAAGTACTAAGATTTGACATATACATTACATCTTAAAGTCATACAGAGTAATAAATATATCAAACAATGAAAAACAGTGGCACTCATTGCCAAAGCATATCTAGATTAGTAATATCCTTGTGTAATATGTTTTCTTGGCATTAGAGATACTTAAGTTGTTATCTATGAAAAGAAGATATGGATTCTGAAATAACTTAAAAATGTATCATTTGGCTTGGATTTATTTTGCAAGGATAAATCATACAGTGATTTTAGATGACCCATTTGATGATCCTCCTGATTTATTAATTCCTGATCGATCACCAGAACCCACAAGGGAACAATTAGATGTAAGTAGAACCCTCTTATGATTAAATTTACATGTATAATGATTTACGTGGATTTAGCTTTTTTTATCTATTTAAAGCTTATTCAGAATAATTATCTTGCTTATCAGTTATACTAGGAAAAGTTTAGAGTTGCTCATTTTTCTAGCTATCTTTGCCCTAGTTTCCTTTCTTCGGTTTCTGTTGCATCAGAACAACCTTAGCTCTGGAAGCTTATAGGAACACCTTGGGAAAATGTTTTTCTTATTACCTAACTCTAGCGTAGCTTCAAGGCCAAATTAAATTTTTGTCTTGTAAGGGAACTTTTGAACTAGGGATACTCTGTAGCCAGACTATCCAGAGATTTCTGTGGAGCAGCACAGACTTATCCCTCAGATATCTTAAGATATGAATTTCTACCTATGAGGATTCCTCAAAACCAAATTTATCTTTATGTTTGAGATTGGTGCTTTATTCTAAGATCATTTATCTTCGTCATTCAGCACTTAGTAGAATAGCAGAAAGTGTTCATTTTGCTTTTATAATAAATCCGAAGCCTAGTCTGGCTAATATTATAGAATTAATTTAAATCAATTTTTAGAGGTTTATAAGTTTGTTCCAGTTGCTATTTTAGCACACTTGCTCTAAGTAAGAATGAAGCATAATATCTTCCAGGTTTCTCACCCTTTTAATTCTTTAAATATGTATATCAGTAACTTCTGCCTTACAGAGTGGTCGAATAGGAGCAGATGAAGAAATTGATGATTTCAAAGGAAGATCAGCTGAAGAAGTAGAAGAAATAAAGGCAGAAAAAGAGGCTAAAACTCAAGCTATTCTTTTAGAGATGGTAAGATAATTATCTCTGTTTAAATAATTCTGCAGTATATTTAATACATACTGATAGTTCATCTGTTTCTGGCTCTTTGATAGTCTTAAAATATTAAAAATTTAGTTGAATTTTTTCTGAATTAAATTTGGTATGACATAATAATACATACAAAAGTAAACATATTTGGCTCCATCAATATAGTGTTAAGTGTCTTTTTAAAAAATGGAAAGTAAGCCAGGTATGGTGGCATGCACCTATAGTCCCAACTACTTGGGAGGCTGGGGTGCAAGGATCCTTTAAGGAGTCCTGAACAACATAGCAAGACCCTGTCTTTTAAAATAAAATGGAAAGTGGGCATCTAACTTATAAATCTTAATTGAATATCATGTTTAATATCTCATTTTTAAAGGGTGTTTATAAGCTGACTTTTATGTGTTAAAGAATACTTCTTCATTGTACCATTCAATTATCGATATTAAATAGTAGATAGTGATCAAAGGGTAAAATTTCCTGGGTGAAAATTGAGCACTTTAAAATATGTTCCTTCTTCATATTACTAATAGTATGAAGTCATTTGGGGAATAATTATTCAGTTCATGATTAATTGATCTTGTAGGCAGTTTTTTTAAATTTCTTATTTTTGTGGAATAGGCATACCTATCATATAGTAGATGATCAACAAATACTTGAATGAATGAATAATAATTTTTTTTTATATAAGAGCATTCAGATTTGTAGTCTGCTTTAAAATTTATATTAGCATCACCAATATGAAAGGCTATAATTCAAGAAAGCTTTACTGCAATGCAAAAAAATTGAAAATACTTTTTTTTTTTTGAGTTGAAGTCTCACCCTGTCACTCAAGCTGGAGTGTAGTTGCATGCTCATGGCCACTGCAGCCGCATCCTACTGAGCTCAGGTGATCCTTCCACCTCAGCCTTCTGAGTAGCTGGAACTAAAGGCGTGAGCCACCACACCTGACTAATTTTTTTGATTTATTGTAGAGACGATGTCTTGCCAAGTTTCCCAGGCTGGTCTTGAACCTCTGGACTCAGGCAGTTTTCTTACTTCAGTCTCCCAAAGTACTGGGATTACAGGTGTGAGCCACCATGCCTGGCTGAAAATACCCATTTTAATGAGCACGCTGTGTATTTGAGAATAGTGGTCTAGAACAACCAACATGAGGACAAATTCGAAGAAAATAACTGGACTTAGAGGAACTAGGCAAAAAGAGTAAGTTACTTATAAGGGAAAGAATATTAAGTAATTATCACTTTTCAATGGCAGTGACTTAGGAAGTTTATACCAGAAGAAAATGTTTTAACATATTTTTAAAACTTTGTTTTCAGATAATTTCAAATTTATGGAAAAAGTAGTACATAGAACTTCTATATACCTTTTATGCAGATTCAGCAATTTTTTTACACTTTACTCTGTCTGCTTTATATTTGCTCTATCTACTTTATTATTCTCTTGATTATACATGCATGTAAACACATACATTGTTTTTTCTGGGCTGTTTCAAAGTAAATTGCCTGTCATTCTCCTTTACTGCTTAATCAGTGTGTATTTCCTAAGAGCAACAGTATTACCCTACATATTTATAGGATAGTTATCAAAATCAGGAAGTTTAAAATGGATAGAAATTATAATTCAAGCTGGGCAAGGAGACACATGCCTGATGTCCCAGCTACTCAGGAGACTGAGGGCAGGGGTAGAGAATCACTTGAGCCTGGGAGTTGAAGGCCAGACTGGGAACATAGTGAGACCTTGTCTCTAAAACAACAACAGTAGCAACAACAACAACAGATTACAGTTTATAGTCCAGTTTTTTCAATAATATCCTTTATAGTTTTTTCTTCTCCCATCTAAAAATCAGCTCATAATTGACAATCTGTTGCATTTAATTGTCATGTCTTTTTAGTCTCTTTAATTTGGAAGAATTCCTTAACCTCTCTGTTTTTCATAACATTTTTGAAGAATACAGGTCGTTTATAGAATATTTTTCAATTTTGGTTTACCTACCTTTGCTTCATGATTGAATTCAGGTTATACACCCACAGCCAAAATAGTACATTAGTGATGTTGTGTCCTTCTCAGATTGCGCTATTTGGAGGTGTACAACATCCATTTACCCCTCATTGGAAGATGATAATTTTAATCACCTGGTCAAGTTAATCTACTGCCTAGTGTCTCCAATACGCAGTCTGGCAAGACACTTTTGAGACTTTTTAATTATTTTGTTCTTTGTTGAATGTCCCCCCTAGATTTCTCAGCCGTTGTTGGTTCTTGCCTGACTCATTCTTGGCTCTGATGAATGAAAAGGGGTAATTCTCCAGCTCCAACACCCTTTCCACAATTATTAGCCTGCCTTCTACTGTAAGGAAGAGTCTTCCATTTCTTATATGCTTATTTATCTATTCATTATCAATGTGGACTCATGGAATTCTTTTTTGCTTATGTTTTTTGGTAAATATACTTTATGTTTTACAGCAATTTTATAGTTATAGAAAATTTTAGCAGAAGGTACAAAGGGTTTCTGTGTACCCCCTCCTCTTTTCCTCAGTATCATCTATTATTAACCTCTTCCATTAGTGTGATACGTTTGTTACAATGGATGAGCCAATACTGATACCTTGTTAATAGCTAAAATCCATAGTTTACATTAGGGCACACTCTGTGTTGTACATTCTATGGAATTGACAAATGTATGATAGCATGTATCCACCATTACAGGATCATGCAGAATAGTTTTACTGCCCTAAAGTCCCCCCTCCCCCCAGGTCCTGGCAGCCACTGATTTTTTTTTACTGTCTGCATAGTTTGGCCCTTTCTAACATGTCATATAGTTGGAAAATGTCATATACAGTATGTAGCCTTTTCACCTTGACTTCTTTCACTTAGCAAATGCATTTAAGATTCAACCATGTCTTTTAGTGGTTTGAATCAATATAACACAGTTTGTTTATCCATTTACCTATTAACAGATATTTTGGTTGCTTCCAAGTTTTGGCATTTATGAATAAAGCTGCTATAAATATTTGTGTGCAGGTTTCTGTGTAGGCATGTTTTGACTGCATTTGGGTAATGGAGAGTTATTGCAGGATTTTATGGTTTACTTTGTAAGAAACTGCAAAACTGTCTTCCAAAGTGACTGTACAGTTTGCATTTCTACCAGTAGCCAATGAGAGTTCCTGTTGCTGCACATTCTTGCCAGTATTTGGTGATGTTATTGCTTTGGAGTTTAGCCATTCTAGCAGGTGATCCTGTGTCCTTTTGATTCTCACTGTTAACATGTTTCATCTTCTGGTTTTTTAAAATTTAATATTATTTAATTAATTAATTTTTTGAGTTGGAGTCTCACTCTGTTGCCCAGGCTGGAGTACAGTGGCATGCTCATAGGTATCGCAACCTCGACCTGCCAGGTTCAGGTGGTCCTTCCGCCTCAGCCTTCCAAGTAGCTGGAACTACAGGCACGTGTCACCATGCCCAACTAATTTTTTTATTTATTGTAGAGACAAGGTCTCGCCAGAAGCTGTTCCTTATTGAGCAATAATGTGGAAAGAATTGGGTATTACAAATCATAGAAGGCTAACTTCAGTATGATAATATTTTTCAAAGTTCAAAAACAGGCAGTTCCTTAGGGATGCATGAATTTGTAGTGAAACTATAGGTCTACAAGGGAATGTCCAAAAAAGAAAACCAAAAGGCAGGGTATTTATCATCTCTGATGAGAGACAAGGATGATAGAATCAGGGGACATTTTGGTTCTTAAGCTAGCTGGTAGCACCATAGGTGGTTTTTATATTCATGCTTTATAACTTAGATATGATTTATATAAATTCTTCTCCTTTTATTTATATTATTATTATTATTTTGAGTTGGAGCCTCACTCTGTCACCAGGCTAGAGTACAATGGCCTGATTATGGCTCACTGCAGCCTTGACCTCCTAGACTCAGGAGTTCCTTCTACTTCAGCCTCCCAAATAGCTGGGATTACAGGTGTATGCCACCAAGACTGGCATATTTTTAAATTTTTTTATAGAGATGAAGTCTTGTTATGTTGCCTAGGCTGGTGTCGAACTCCTGGGCTCAATTAATCCTCCTGCCTCGGCCTCCTGAAGTGCTGAGATTATAGATGTGAGCTACCTTGCCTAACCTTTTAAGAAATGTATCAGATACTTGGAAAAAAAAAAGTAAGAATAACATTGGGGCTTTGAAACCAGGTAGCCAGATTAGGGTTCAAATCCCAACTTTTTTGCTTACTGCTGTGTGGGTTTGGACAATGTGTTTAACCTTTTTGAATTTCACTTTACTTGTCTTAAAAGTGGAAATTGGAGGATTATTTTAAGAATTAGCAGTAATGCATTTGAAGCCCTAAGCACAGTGTTCACACAAAGTGTGAGTCAGATAAATATTAGCTATTCATATTGTTAATACCAGGAGCAGTGTAGTTACAAATTTTAAAATCTTACTTAGATTTCTTTTTTTTTTAGCCTGCAGTTTATAATGTAAATTTAGATGTTTTAGAGAAATCAGTATTGTGGGTTTGATTAGGATATTTAGAATGGAAACTAAAAGAAATTGATGTATGTTCTTGTTTGTTTGTAATTTAGGTGGGAGACCTACCTGATGCAGATATTAAACCTCCAGAAAATGTGTTGTTTGTGTGTAAATTGAACCCAGTGACCACAGATGAAGATCTGGAAATAATATTCTCAAGATTTGGGCCAATAAGAAGGTAATCCCCAGAATTAGTGAGAGAGAAATTTAGAAAAACTAGATATTAGTTGGTGGTTTTCTAATGACTTATTTTTGGTGAGTCTGTGAACTCTGGGTGAATCCAATTTTGGTGAGTCTTTGTACATAGAGAAGAAAAGTGTTTTTTTATACATCCACACACACATACATAGATAAATAATTGAATGATACTCCCACTACCAACACAAACATTTTTATTCTAAAACAGGAATCGAATGGAACACTTCAAGTCTGTTTTTGTAATATTCTTAGCAGCCTTCTTTAATATTTAAATAATCTCATTTAATCAACTCCTCGTAGAATTATCAGAAATCTATGTCAAAATTTATTAGAATCTGAATTTTCCAAGTTTTTTTTGGTTAATTTTCCCTGCATTATTAGCACAAAAGTTTATGAAGTTAGTATTTCTGTGAGAAAGAGGACTATTTTGTAATCGATTAAAAAGTATTATGAGCCGGGCTTGGTGGCTCAGCCTGTAATCCCGCGCCTTTGGGAGGCTGAGGTGAGTGGATTGCCTGAGCCCGCGGGTTCGAGACCCGCATGGGCAGCGAGACTTCATCTCTACAATAAATCAAAAAATCAGCCGGGCGTGGTAGCGCATGCCTGTAATTCTGACTACTCGGAAGGCTGAGGCGGAAGGATCACTGGAGCCCAGCAGGCAAGGCTGCGGTGGCCGGGAGTGGCCACTGCACTCCAGTCTGGGCAACTGAGTGAGACTCCAACTCAAAAAAAAAAAAAAGTATTATATTTAGAATCCTTTCCCTTTTGTTTATTTGTTTATTTATTTATTTATTTATTATTGAGTTGCATCTCTCTGTCACCCAAGCTGGAAAGTACTGGCATGACCATGGCTCACTAGAGCCTCAGCCTCCTGGGTTCAGGCAGTCCTTCCTCCTTAGCCTCCCAGATGCATGCCCCCGCACCCAGCTAATTTTTTTTTTTTTTGTAGAGATAAAGTCTTGCTGTGTTGCCTAGTATAGTCTCAAACTCCTGGGCTCAAGCATTCCTTCCACCTCAGCCTCCCAAGTGCTGGGATTACAGGCGTGTACTACTGTGTCTGGTCTCATTTCATGTTTATAAAATGAATCCCACGCCTTTGGGAGGCTGAGGTGAATGGATTGCCTGAGCCTGCGGGTTCGAGACCCACCTGGGCAGCGAGATCTCATCTCTACAAAAATCAAAAACTCAGCTGGTCGTGGTAGCGCATGCCTGTAATTCCGGCTACTTGGAAAGCTGAGGCGGAAGGATCGCTGGAGCCCAGCAGGTCGAGGCTGCGGTGGCAGGATGTGGCCACTGCACTCCAATCTGAGTGACAGAGTGAGACTCCAACTCAAAAAAAAAAAAGATATATGAGGAAGAGGGCAAGCCAGGTGCTTTCAGCTCCAGCTTATATGCACTTTCACGTATGGTAGATGAGTTCTGTGTAATAGCTATACTCACAGCATTAAACTTGAGCTTGGATTATATTAAAATTCAAAAATTTCAAAGCATAAATTTACTAAACATTTATATATGTATATATGTATATAAATGTGCATGCATTATTCTACAGTAACAGTAGATATTCTATAATTCACCTATATTTGGACTAGAAATGCACTTTGACATAAAAAAAAATGCGTAGCAGTAGTTTACTTTTGCCAAAGGACAATTAAATATTTTTATGCATCCTTCAGTGTTTGGGAATTTAGGACTGTAGGCTTACATAGGACATTTAGAGCACAATTTAAATAATTTAGTTACTGGACTGGTGAACTATTTTTAAAAATTATTATTGAAAAAATTAGGAAAAATACTCTGAGTTTAACTTTGCCTTGTAATAACTAGGCAAATTTTGTTCTAAAGTTTTGCAGAGTGAGACTTTGAAGAGCTTATTTTTAGAGTCACTTTTTAAAATTTTGTTTCAGTTGTGAGGTTATCCGGGACTGGAAAACTGGAGAGTCCCTCTGTTATGCTTTTATTGAATTTGAAAAGGTATGTCATGTATGTTTGGTATTTATTTTGTTTTTATGTGGTATTATGATGTGAAAGTTATAGAACTTTTTCTGGTTTCTAGGATTACCTTTTCTTTAGGCACCCAAGAAAATTAACTTTATTGTATTCAAATAGGGGATACATTTAACATCTGTTGATATTAATATATGTACCTTTACTTTAGGTTCAGGTGCAGTCTGCCTGCATGTATCTTTAGAACTTTTCAAGTTTTAGGTAACATTCTTCACAGATTCTTAATGATTTTTCAGTGTTATTTAGGTGGAAATATAATTGAGAACTGGACTGGGTATTAAGATCTAGATATTAATCCATGTTTTATCACTAGCCAGCTATTGTATGATATTTGACAGTTTACTTAACTCTTCTTTCTAAGCCCTACCTTCCTTATAAATAAAATTTAGATATGAATTAGATACTCCCTTGTAGGTCTATAATAATGATGATAGCTTATGTTACTCAAGTAGTTTAAACCAGGCATTATGTTACTTTTCCTGCATTTAATCTTCACAAATCTATAGGATAGGTTCTATTCTCCTTTTCCCAATAAGTAAACTGAGACACATAGTAATGTGATTTGTTCAAAATCATACACCTAGTGAATGTCATAACTGGAATTTGAACTTAAACATGTCTGACTCTTTTCCCATTGAGCTTAGCCACAATGCTTTGCTATGCTATTTCTTTTTTTTCCCTTTTTTTTTTGAGTTGGGGTCTCACTCTGTCACCCAGGCTAGAGTGCAATGGCACACTCACGGCCACCGTGGCCTCAACCTACTAGGCTCAGGCAATCCTTCCACCTAAGCCTTCCAAGTAACTGGAACTACAGGCACACACCACCACGCCTGGCCAATTTTTTAATTTATTGTGGAGATGAGGTCTTGCCAAGTTGCCCGGGCTGGTCTCAAACCCATGGGCTCAGGCAATCCTCTCACCTCAGCCTCCCAAAGTGCTGGAATTAAAGGCATGAGCCACCATGCCCAGCCTTGCTATGCTATTTCTTTATGCAGCTTTGTGCTGAGTGTATCCAATAATGGCACATTCTAAGTTATAGTTATCCCAAAGCATTTATTGAACAAATATGTTTCAGGCACTGTGATAGCCCTCTAAAGATATACCTCTCTAAACTTAGAAAATGGAGATAATAGTAGATAGTATTTCATGGGCTTGTCACCAGAGTTAATTGAGATAATAGATATAAAGCATTTAACAGCATCTGATGAGTAATTAATATTCAAGTATTAATTTCAGTAACAACAAGTGTTCTGTATTTTCAGTATTCTAGCTACAGAAATATTTTCCATAAAGATTTATGCTTGAGTTTTTTAATTATTATCAGGAAGAAGATTGTGAGAAAGCATTCTTTAAAATGGACAATGTACTTATAGATGACAGAAGAATACATGTAGATTTTAGCCAGTCTGTTGCAAAGGTTAAATGGAAAGGAAAAGGTATGTTGGTTTGTCTTCCTTTGTTTCTTTTTTGCTTTGCATGCTTATATGTATAACCTTTGACTTAGTGCTTTTAATTAGGAGAAATGTTAATGTAACTCCTGCCATTTATGATTTTACAAAGCTGCTATCTAGAGTCCAACATAGAGAGTATGTGCACCTATGTGTGTACTTTAACTGATGAAAACTGTTTGTATTATACATTACTTAAGATTATCCACTGCAGACATGATTTGTTTCCAAAGTAACTATTATGATTTGATGGTGGTTTGATTTTTTAATGCAGCTTTAAGTTTGTCTCAGTTGTCATATGATGCAAAGTGGATTTTCAGTAATCCATGAAAAGATAGCTGATTAAAGTCTCTTCCATTCCTGCTCCTCATACCCACTTTCTCTTCCCAGAAGTATCTGCTATGACCTGTCAGTACTAACTTTCCCCTACATTTTTTGAATACATATGCATAATACATACATACACACACACACACACACACATATATATATTTCTCTTTTTAAAAAGTAAAATACAAAGGATGCGTACTATACATACTGTACCTTAACGTTTTCCATTTAACAGTGTATCTAAGAGATCAGTTTGTATCAGCATATAAAATGCCAGTTCATTCTTTTCAGTGGCAGCTCAGTGTCCTATTGAATATATATATCATAATTTATTAAACCAGACCGATTAATGGACATTCAGGTGACCATTATGGTATTATGTACTATCCCTGTATATATGACATTTCCCACATATGCTTACATATATGTCAAATAAATTCCTGGTAGCATGCCAAACTTAAAGTTGGAACTATTATATACTGAAATAATATGAGTTTTTGACTTCTGATGAAGTGTCTTTAAAAATTTCACTTTGTAGTTATTCACATGAAAAGCTAAATTTTACTAGGAATTTTAGGATTCCTTTCTTTTCTTTATGTTGTTTTTACTTCCCATGATTTTAATTACCTCTTTTTTGTTTGTGTTTAATAAGAAAGAAAGAGGGAGTACTTTGTAGTAAAGTGCTGAATTATTTGGTAGATTATGCTGCCTTATGAGAGTTAAGAGAAGGGAGAAATTATTAATGACTGGAGAAGGCAAAGCATACCCAGGAGAAGCCATGATCCCTGTGGTAGGAGAGAGTGGCTTAGGTTGGAGTCCTGTGTACTAATAGTTTCTTCCAGGAAGCCTTCCCACTGTTAGAACACATGGCAATTTTTTGACAGTGGTGTCTGTTTTGAGTGGTACGTGAAAGGTAAGTTAAAGTACTTAGATATGTTTTCACTTGTGATAGCTTCATGAACAAAAGATTGAAATGCAGTAAGTCCCCTATTTACAAATGAGTTCCTTTCCAGGAGGACGTTTGTAAATACAATTTGTTCGTAAGTCCAACAAAGTTAGCCTAGGTACTCAACTAACACAATCAGCTGTGTAGCACCAGCTACATCACCACTGCTTTTACACTTGCTTCTGTACATTTTGGGCTTGACATAATGATACTGTAGCAGTACTCTTTACCGTACTATATAGTAAAGTACACAAAAGCGCAACCACTTATAGAGGATGCATGCGTGTGACAATGTACACCAGATATGTGAACTAACTTATGTGATTGGACATGGGAACACACATTCGAATCTTTAAAAGTTTGCAAATTGAAGGTTCATATGTAGAGGACTCATTATAGGTATATTCGGGAATGAGTGATGAGCTGCTGGCCAGTGCAATGTTGTTCTGGTCTAGTAATACTGTCAAGTGGCTCGTATGTGGAGCTTTTTTTCCAAAGAGCTAATTTAGTTGTATTGTTTGGGAAATGTATGAAACAAATATAATTTTTTATTATAGATAAAGATTTGAGGCATAATCTGACATAATTTACACAGTCACATATACTGATAATTTAGACAGACCCTAAATCTGATTTGGTTTTTTTTTCCCTCTGTCATTTCTTCTTTCCAACCCATCTACCTATTGAAGAAATGATACTAGTTTCCTAAGTTGTTTCAATAAAGTTTATTTAGAAGATAATTTTTAAGTGAATTTCTTCATTTTTTCTAAAATAAAGTGTTATGTAGGGGAGAGATACTTTGGTTTTATATGTTATCATAAACATACAGTTTGTTGTTAATTTCAGTTAATTTTGAGGTAATTATATATATGTTTTTGGTTCACATTTTAAACATTAAATGCACATTATGTACCATTCAGAGTACTAAGTATGTTCTCTTATGTCTGATGATTCCAGCAGCTCTGTGAAATGTTATTATTTTCAGTTTCAAAAATGAGGAGAATGAATTGCAGAAAAGTGAAGTGTTTTGCCTAGGACCTCCCACTTGAGTCAAGATTTGAATCCAGAACTTTCCCTTTAATCCGTTGCCCTTTCTATTTCACCATAACTGCCTCATCCATAATGAGGCTCCTAATGGCAAACAGGTGGCACATAATTTTTCAATGATAAAGTGATGGCTGTTTGTTACTGCTAACTTTTTTTTTTTTTTAAATTCTTGCAGTATTGTGTTTCACATTTATATGAAACATTCTCCTGGCCATTTTTATTTCCAGAGTCTCTGGAACTGTCAAGTAGATGCGCCTTGTCTTTGATGCTTACCCAGTGTTTTCATTCCTAGTTTTCCTTTTAAACCCCAACAATCACGGTATATATAAGATCACAATCAAACCCTCTCTCTGTGTACCTTCAGTTTGCTTTACTTGTACGTTTAATCTAGGACCCTTCTGTAGGAAGCCTTCCCACAAGAACCATTTCCTAGTGATAGTTGAGGGGATAGGAAAGGCAAGTCAGTCAGCAGGGGTGGGCCATGGGTAGAAACTGAATCCTTATCTTGTAGGACACTAGGCTGAAGAGTGGAGAGGCTATGAATGCACCTCCTTTCTGGCTCTGCCACTCTAGGCTAGTCAAGATGTATTCTCCTGAAGGGATTTTTGGCACTTGAGAGAATTGAAGGTTCCCCTAAGCCAGAGTTTCAAAGCAGAGGTAGTTTGTCTTTGGTGCTCTCACCATCCTCCTTCTCTCACAGCTCTAACTTCTCCACATGTCCTGCTGTCTCCTCTGCTTGCTGCCCCTTTGCAGTTTGGCAGCCGAATATCTCCTTTGTCAGATCTTCAAAGGTCTTTGAAAGTCTCATTTCTTCCAAACTTGTTAAGTCTTTCAGATTCAAACTCAGGTCCCAAATCTTCAGTTTGCCATTGGACTGGATGCATTATTGGTGTGCAATTTATTTGGAAGTTTGATGTTGTAATATTCACATATATCATTAGGTGGCAGCATGTGGCTGCCTAGCAAAAGAGATATCTGACATTAGTTACATTAGTAAGGAGATGGAATTACTATGGTTCTTTTGTTCGCTTCTTAACTTTTTTCTTTCTCCGGATATATACCATTTATAAAATAGCTCATACCTTTTATAAAATGATATTGTTCTTGATTAATCCAGTAACTTTTCTTACTAAGCTCTTTTTTTTTCTTAACTAATAGGTGGGAAATACACCAAGAGTGATTTCAGAGAATATGAAAAGGAACAGGATAAGCCATCTAATTTGGTTCTGAAAGATAAAGTAAAGCCCAAGCAGGAGTATCCTTAACAAGAATCAGTCAATATGTATTGATTGTCCACTATGTGTAGAGTGCTGTGCAATATGTTATAAAAAGTCCCAATGGCTATTGAAGACAAGATTCCTGAATCCAGATTGTTTGTGATAAAATAACTTAGTTATTGTTAACTCTTTCCCTTTTCAACGGTTTATCATTATCTCTTTTCAAGGTCTTACATATGCTTTGCTTTTGCATTGTATTCTATTGTATGGAAAAAGTTAGAGTTGGAAGAAATTGTTAGTCTAATTATTTTACCTTCCTACCATCTTAGGTTAAGTACCTTCCTACTTACCATATTCTCAGAAGATCTTCAGGTAAGATTTGTATTTCTTGTATATAATTGTAATGCTTTAAATTTCTTATAATCAGACGTTTTTGTTATTACTGAACTAAATCCTTTGTGCTAATCATTCTTGTGTGTTTAGTGTCCCTATCTAGATAACAAAATCCTGTAGGTTTCTGTTACAAGATTAGGTCATTTCAGCAACAAATATTTATTGGGCTTCTAGTGAGTGCAAGAGTTCACCTTAATAGGACTAAAAAGAAAGTATTGACTTGACCAATTCAAGTTTTTCAAAGTTTTAGGTTAAGGCAGGTAAAAAAACAATGAAACATACTATTTATATTATCTCATTTTAATTTGTTCACTAGTTTTTCTCATTATAAATCTATCACTCTGCACATCGCAAAGGCTATTTCTTTTGTGATTCTTTCTGGTAAATGGTGTCTTTGTTTCCTTGTTTTGGTATTTCAAGGATATTTCACCCTATGCTATGTAGCCATTTCTTTTCCAAGTATTTATTCATCACGGAAAGATGAATATCAGGTTGACCTGTTGTATATTCGTGTTTTAAGTTGTGTTGACTGTCTGCAATGTGTGAAGCATTGTGAGATGTGAGAGCTAGATCAAGTCTGAAAGATATTGACAAAATCAGCCAGAGGAGAAGCTTTCACATGCAGACAAGCCAAACAAGATTTGGCCTATAAAGATCAGCATTAGAGGGCATGTGATTGAACTCTCAAAATCACAAAAGGTATGAATGAACTACACTTGAGATTTATTTACCAAATCTTTGAAGTTATGTTTAGCCTAACCACTAGGCTGGATGAAGGGGAATATGTAGGACAAATAAAAGAGAGGTGTGGAGCATAAAGAAGAGGGAAACATCTGTTTCCCTGTAGAGGTAGTTTAGACTGAAGAGAAGGAGTATGAAAATATTTTAAATTCAAGAGGTAGATTACCAAGAGTTAAGAAAAAACTAGGCATATTTGAGAATAAATCTTTAGTTCAATACTTTCTACAATGATAGAACTTTCTGCAATGATGAAAATGTGTGGTCTGTCCACTGTCCAGTGTGGCTACTAACCACATGTGGCTATTGAGCATGTGAGATAGTCTGAGGAACTGAGTCTTTTTTTTTTTTTTTTTTTTTTGAGTTGGAGTCTCACTCTGTCACCCAGGCTGGAGTGCAATGGTACACTCATGGCCACCCCAGCATTGATCTGCTGGACTTCGGCGGTCCTTCACCTCAGCCTCCCAAGTAACCGGAACTACAGGTGTGCATTACCATGCCCAGCTAATTTTTTAGTTATTGTAGAGATGTAGTCTCGCCACATTTCCTAGGCTGGTCTTAAACATGTGGGCTGAGGCAGTCCACTCACCTTGGCCTCCCAAAGTGCTGGGATTGCAGGCTGAGCCACCAAGCCTGGCTAGAACCAAATCTTAAATTTTGTTCAATTTTAACAAAGGGAAACAACCACATATGTCTATATTGAACAGTACAGCTTGTAGCCTTTTGTAGTTGAAGACAGACATGTCCTGGTGTGCACCACAGTGAATCATTCTCAAGTGATTAACAGGATATTGAACAAGAAAGGAAATTCATGAATCTGATCGAGTAGGATAGTCTTTATATTCTTGGTAATTGATAGGTTTCATTTTAGTGAGGCATTTATAATTTTAGGTAGACTATTGGACGGACAGACAGAACACATGTTTATTATATGTAAGATCCTCTTTCTCATGTCTTCATACTATATGTTATCTAATTACTTGTGTCAAGAGAAGGAGAGTCAGGGAATAGTCTAATGTGCAGATAAATCATCTTAAGTTAATTAAAAGGCTTGATGGGAATCTACTTTATGGGTCTTGAGAAAGAGAAATTACTATAAATGTAGATTATTAATCAGAAGTATCAAAAATAGAAGGAGAGGAAAGTTTAACGTGGCCCAACTAGACCTGGAAGAAATTGGAGAAAAGAGGTCGGTGAGATCATAAATTTGTGTTTTATGTAAAAGATTTTAGAGAGATTTAGTGGAGAAGCAAAGAAGAAAGATAAAACAAGTGTCTTGGTGACATAACAAGTAATCAGCAAATAGCATCTGTTATATATCTGCTTTAGAAATAAAGTCTGTTAAGTCCCTGTCCACATGGAGCTTACATTTTATTGCTGGGGGGGAAAACAGACCTTAAATAATTAATGTTAAATATGTTTAGAGTAGTGCAAAGAAGTACATTTGTGGGATATGGTACTTACAGTAGGGGATGAGGGATTAGTGAATACCCTCAAGTAACACCAAAAAAGTAACATTAAAGCTGTAAATCAAATATGGAAGTGAAGAGGTCTAAGGTGGGATGCTATTTTCTTTACCTGTAATCCATCATTTAGGAAATACAGTTTATATCTTAACCCAGTACAGTCATAGTACAATAATTTTCTTTGTCTTTCTCTCATACACACACACAATTGAAAAAAAACTTCATAAAATAGGGTTGTTATTAGATGTCAGGTATTCCATTTTCTATATTATTATTTTTTAATGCTGGTTTGGATTTAAAAACTGAATGGATTTTGTACCCCATTGATGGATGGCAAGCATCAGTTTGAAAAACACTGCTCTAAAGCAATTTGGACAGGAGGGCACAGATAAAATCATAAGCAAGGGTGAGTGACTATGTATCTGAAAGAGGAGAGCTAGAAGATACTCTGGAAACAATGTGTCTTAGTAAAGGAGAAAAGAAGTTTAAAGTGTGATATCCTGAGGAAAGCATTGAGCTGTAGTATTATGAAAAGGGATGAGAGGCAAGTCCTGAGGGAAGTGTATCTGCCTTTACTGAGGTCCCACATGCAACTCAAACAGCTGTGCCTACTGGGCTTCCACATAAGCTTTCTTTTGAAAACCTGTGTTCTAGCCCATCAGCCTTCCTCAAGATCCATTTTAGAAATTGAGATTATTTTCAGCAGAAGTTGTAATCCTTTTATTTTTTCTCTTATTCTAATGCATTTGAGTATATCTGAATTAAAACATTATTAAAAACTTTCTTGGTAGTTTTCTTTGCTCATGTCAGTTCTGGCATGTCACCCTGTCTTTTCTCTCTTCTTTCTCTAATAAAACTTTGAGAAGGCCGGGCGTGGTAGCTCAGCCTATAATCCCAGCCCTTTGGGAGGCCAAGGCTAGAGGATTACCTGAGCCTGGGGGTTTGAGACCAGCCTGGGCAATTTGGTGAGACTTCATCTCTTCAATAAATCATAAAAACTAGCTGAGTGTGATGGCATGGGTCTGTAGTTCCAGCTACTTGGAAGCCTGAGGCAGAAGGATCGCCTAAGCCCAGCAGGTCGAGGCTGCAGTGGCCGTGAGCTTGCCACTGCACTTCAGTCTGGGTAACAAGAGTGAGACTCCAACTCAAAAAAAAAAAAAAAAAATTGAGAAAAAAATGTCTCTTTGAACTGGGGTTTCACTCCGTTGCCCTGGCTGGAGTGTATTGGTACAAATCACAGCTCACTGCCACCTTGATTCTTCTGCCTCAGTTTCCTGAGTAGCTGGAATTATAGGTGTGTGCCACCATGAATAGCTTATTTTTTTTATTTTGGTAGAAGCGAGGTCTCATTATCATGCCTAGGCTGATCTCTAACTTCTGGGCTCAAGCAATCCTCCCATCTCAGCTTCCCAATGTGCTGGGATTGCAGGTATGAGCCACCATGCCCAGCCTGTTGTTAAGGGGTTTTTTTTGTACATTTATCTTTTAGGAAGATTCACAGTTCCATCACCTAGGCAAATGATACTTTTTATTGCTCCATGTTCCTTTCAAGCCTTTATCTCACATACAGTTATAATCCCTGTGTAGCATATGTACTTTTTGGTTCAAGCTTTTTTCACTTTTCCTGGAATTTTATTATAATGTACATTAGCATTTTATTATAGCCTGAAAAAAATGCATGATAATTATTGAAGTTCCCAGGCCACAGATAAATAAGAATGAATATTTTTTTATTTGATAAGTTGAATATTTACAGTGTATAGAGCACCGTAGATGCCAAAGATTTTAAAAATGGAAAGCAAAGACCTCGTCCTTAGGATGCAGCACACTCACGTGGGGAAATAAGTCACATATGTTAATAATGAATGTAAACTAGTAAGGATTTTGTTCTGGGATGAACCATAGAGTCTTTCTTGTTGGGAAAACTAAACTGTTCCTGAAGGAGATGGCCTTTGAAATGGACCCTTTTTTCCACTTTTAATTTTCGTAAACACCTTTCCAGGATTTTTCATAGCATTTATTATTGTTAATAACTTCCTTTATAACATATCATATTGAAGTGCTATAATACATTTAAGTACATTTTTATAACTAGATATTTTGGTGTTCTCACTTTATGATATTAAAAATAATCTTATTATGTAGATCTTTGTTCATTTAACTTATGTTAGTTTTTAAACAAATTCTTATTAGAACTTAAACATGGTAACTGTTGGTATGCATTGTTAAATTTTCTCCTGTAGGATTAAACTAAAAGAAGAGTCATAATTGTGCCTATTATCTTATATAGCTCCTCTGGGCATGGGGTTTATAATATTTTAATTTTTTTTAGTTAAAGATGTCTCTCATTTTCTAAGTTTACATTTTTTTCATTATTGACAAACGTTTCCTAAATTTTTATGCTACTTGTATTTTTTAAATTTTTTTATTTTTTACAATTGCTCTAGAAAATACTGGAAGCTACCTATATTTTCATTTGTGGAAAGATTTATTTTCCCCTCTATATATTTTGCCTAGTAGTTGTTAATTGTTTATTTAAGATCATGGCTCTTTCCATTCTCCTATGTAATGAAAGAAAATATTAATTTTGTTTTAGAACTATGCACTATGATTTTCGCTTTAAAAAGTTTTGTTTAGCCTTGTAGTCTCCTTTGTTTACCAGATTCTTAACATTTTGATGTCTTATCAGTGTTATTTCTCACATCTGTCCTTAACTGACTGCTGCAGTGCAAAATATGATCTTATACTAGATGAACAGGAAGAAGAGTCAAAATCAAGTCACTCACACACAAGTAAAAAACACAAGAAGAAAACCCGTCACTGCTCTGAAGAAAAAGAAGATGAGGACTACATGCCAATCAGAAATACCAACCAGGTACTTCTAATGCCCTGACTTAGATGTGGAGAAATAAGTATTTTATCTCTGTGTAAATTACATCTTAGTGATATAATTTAGGAGGTAAGGGATAGTTCTCAACAGGGATGGGTATGCAAAACGTAGAATGGTTGAACTGGGGTATTGGACTTTCATTTTTAAATATATATATATATGTCACAAGTGGTACAAAGTTGTTTTCAAAGTAGCATAATGTATCCTGTACTTCCACATTGTGAAGCAGGAGTGATTTTCATACCTGTAGGTACTCATTCTCATCAAAAACAAGTATGATTTTGTGGAAAATTTGTTCTTATTGTCTGCTTAATTTTTTACCAAGCGTTTTGTATAGCACTTGCAACTCTTGCTGTTTTATGACCTGGAAAGCGTATATGTTTTTCCATATCGTATATGTGAAATAAAAACAGCACTAGTAATTAACTTGATTGTCCTAAAAGTTCTCCTGCATAGCACATTTTTAAAAACAATTATAATAAAAGCTCCCTAAAAAAAATTGATGGTAAAGAAATCATTTATTCACAATTGATTGTGAAGAAACCTGTATTTTGGGTCTTAGTTCAAAGCAAATTTAATCGGGCAGCCCCTTCAGGTTCCCTTCCACTGTGGGAGCTTTTCTGTCCTCTCAGTAAATCCAGCTTTCTAAAAAAAACAAGCAAATTATACCAAGCCCCTTGCTTTCATTTTGCCACATAGGGACATTTGAACTTGGCCCTGGTGGGGATCTCACCACCTTGAACAAGGATCTCAGTGAGCTGAGGTGAGGAGGGAGGGAACCTAAGATGGTGAGAATGTCAAACAAAGACAGAAATGGGCTTGGTGTGGTGGCTCATGCCTGAAACCCTAGCACTTTGGGAGGCCAGGTGGGGAGGATTGCTTGAGCAATTGTTTGAGACCAGTCTAGGTAACACAGTGAGACTCAATCTCTACAAAAAAAAAAGTTAGCTGGGCCTGGTGACATATGCCTGTAGTTCCAGCTACTCAGGAGGCTAAGGTGGGAAGATTACTTGAGCCTGGGAGTTTTGAGGCTGCAGTGAGCCATGATTGTGCCACTGCATTCAACTCGGGCGACAGAGACCCTGACTCAAAAAATAAAAAGACATAGAAATGGAGAAATGTAGTATGGTAGGCAAAGTAAAGGATTTGCTGGCAGGAGAGTTGGGTTTGCATTTCTACATTGATAGTCATCATTGTGACCTTGACAAGTCATTTAACTTTCTGAGCCATGGTTTCTGGCTTCTGTGCAACTGAGATAATACTTCACAGGCATATTGTTAAGATAAAGTGAAAAGAATGTGTGTGCAGACATTTTCTACCCTGGCTATTAGTGTTACTACCTTTTTTTTTACTATTATGTAGCAAATTACTATGTTTTAGAGTTACTTAGCTAATTCCTCTATGTTGCTATGACTTGCCCATAGTTTTATATAGTTAGCCAGTAGTGGAACCACAATTTAAGCTCATACTTGGACTCCTGACTACTCTACTGCTGTTCTTAACCTGGGATGTATCTCTGTCAGTTTTCTCTCCTAAATTGTATTATTTTAATAAAATGTGTCCCATAGTATTCCAATGTGCTCTACTAGGATGTCTCCTTCTTAATTTTTATACTGTTTTTACTTTAGTTGGAGACCATCCCAATCTATTTTAATGGTGGCTGTATCACATTCCTATTAATATTTAGCATGTTTTCCACTAAAAACTTCCATCCCGTTGCTTTTAGCTATAGCTCCTCAAACTGTACTTGTATGTGGACTCTAATGCATTCAACATTGGCGTGTTTAAGATATTAAGAAGTCTAAAAATGTACAAAAACTAGCTATGTTTAAGTCTAATTTCTACCCCTTATTGTGAATTTTTTGATCTTGCTGTTAGATTACTTTAAACCTTAGGGTAGCAAATATACAACTTTTGTGGCATGGAGTAAAAAAGCATCAAGTGTTTTAAGCAATGGTGTTAATATTTTCTAAAGTATTTTAAGGTTGTTGGCAACTATGAAATTGTTAAATCCTGAATAATAATCTCCTGATTTTGTTTCTCTCCTCAAAGTGTATTAAAGTATGTGTTTTGATTTTGTACTTTGATTTAATATAGCTACATTAGTTTTCTTTCTAATAAAACTCAGCATCAATATATAAGATTTCAGTGGGCCCCAGTTTGATATATTTTGATTATTTTTCTTTTGATATCAATCTCAAAAATATAATCATTTAAGGGAGTTTTCAGTACGAGGTAAATTTCAGATGTAGCTCAGATTTTCCTATTTGTTGGTATTTTGCTTGGTGAGTCTGGTTAAGGAAACCAGACTTACCAAGCAAAATAAGAATATTTTAACTTATTTCTTCTAATTCTTTGTTTCTTATTGAGTGATAGCCTTACTATTCAATTCGAAAACATCCGTTTGATTTTCCACCTCATGTCTTAATTCCAAAGATGGTTTTTGTGTTGTTGAAGTTTGGGTTTTACTGGGTTACAGGAAATGAGTATTCAGCTGGGGGTTGCCTTGCTGAGAAGTATTCATGCTGGTTGTCAGTTTTCACTGGGGTTTTCATGGTGTTTGTATTCTTGTAATTTAGAACTCTATTTGTGCTATCATTTTAATTATTTAGTGTTGTTTTAGTGATTTAGATTAAATAAATCTTTGATGGTAGTCCCAGAGACCTGAGTAAGGATAACTTTTAGTTAGACTGGTTTTTTTTTAATTGCTTTATGTTAAGTCATTTGCTAGATTGTTGATTGCTTTACGTTGGCCATTTTGTGCTTTTTGTGTTGTTTCTTTCCTATTTGGTCACATGATAGTTTAATTATCTGTTTTAAATGTATAAAATAGGCTGGGCACGATGGCTCATGCCTGTAGTCCCAGGTTGAAGTGGAAGGATTGGTTGAGCCCAGGAGTTCAAGACTAGCCTAGGCAACATAGCAAGACCTAATCTCCACAAAAGATTAAAAACTTAGCTGGGGATGGTGGTGCACTTTTGCAGTCCCAGCTACTCAGGAGGCTGAAGTGGAAGGATAGCCTGAGCTCAGGAGGTTGAAGCTATGTGAAGCCATGCTTGTGTCACTGCACTCCATCCTGAGCAACAGAGTGAGACTCCTAACTCAAAAAAATAAAATAAAAAATGCATAAAATAACAGAATTCTTAAAAATCTAAACTGGAGAGGACTTAGAGCTTATCCAATTTATTCTCTTCTTGAGATATGAAGATGATGATCTACAGACCCTTAGACCTTTCTAGTTTAGTGAGAGACCTTGAACTTTAACATTTGATCAGTCAGCTGTTGGGTTTTTGTTTTTTTGTTTTTTTTTTTTTCATTATTCTGTGTTACCTCCTCTTTTTAATTGTGTGTGCAAAGTTACTGATCAGTTAAATAATTATCTTCAACCTATGTAGATCTGTTGAGTCTCTGTTTCCTTATGTCTAGAATGAGGTAACATTGCACTCCTAAAGCATGCAGCACTGTGAGTATATACTTAGAGGATCTGCCATTACGTGGGTTCGTCCAGCCACCTGAGTTCTTCTCCTACCTACAGCACTTATTTTGTCTTGCTTTTCAGTTTTCACTGACACTACTTTCATTAGCCTTCTTTCTCCAGCTTAAGCCCAAACCCACTTACCCTTTAAGGCTCAGCTAAAATCTTAACTTCCATGAAACCTTCCCTGATAAATCTAACTTCAAAAGTACTTCTTGTTTGATACATTTCCTAAATGGCAAAAGCTTTGACCCAGATCTGCTGACTTCAAAACTTGTGTAGCTTTGAAAACTACTTCCGAGTAGGAGTGATTTTAAAGTTTCAGTCCAATGCAGATGGACTCAATTTTTGTTTAAATAATTAAGTACTACATAACTTTTTAATCTCTCTTTTATCTTAAACACTCAAAGCACTTAAGTGCCTATTTGTATAATAATGTGCTAAGAATTTTAGGAAGTTCCACATCAGCTAACAGTCTCTGCATTTAAAAAGCTGTCTCATCCAATGTAGAAATAAGTACTAGGTGTACAGACATAATAGTATGTAACTATTTATATTTTGTATTTGTTATGGGAAGCACAAAAATAGGAATGTCATATATTGCTAGAAAATAGATGGTGAAGGGCTAAACCAAAATACTTGCTCAGTTTTCTATCTCATGGGCTCCTATAGAATGACAGGAACTATTTGGATTATGTGGAGAAGTCACAGATCAGTTTATAATGTTGTACTCCACAACACTGTGATATAACAATCATGGTAAGTCTATTTTCACATACTGCAAACTCAGTGCCAGGTATAAGTTTACAGTATCTAGACAGTGTATGGGATAATTAATCATTTGCTTAAAACCCTTAACCACGGGTATCTGTCACTCTGCATTTTAAGTCTTGACATTTATGTCTACTGTAGTAATGTCTAATATTAGAGTTGGGACCTTTGGGAGTTCAGTCCTTAGAATTTTGCTTTTCCTTTGAACACTTTTTTAAATTTGAATCAGAGTCTCACTCTGTTGTCCAGGCCGGGGTACTGAGACACATTCACAGTCACTGCAGCCTCAACCTGCTGTGTTCAGGTGATACTTCTCCCTCAGCCTTCCAAGTAGCTGGAACTATGCCACCATGCCTTGCTATTTTTAAAATTTATTGTAGAGATGAAGTCTCACCAAGTTGCCCAGGCTAGTCTCAAACCCCTGGACTCAATGCTCTTGCCTCAGCCTCCTGTAGTGCTGGGATTACAACCATGAGCCACTATGCACAGCCCGAACAGTCTTTTAAGACCGTGCAATTTTAGAAACTCTCTTGAAGGAGCATTGACTCTAGTCTCTAAGATTCCAGTCATTTACTAAGATACTTCTAATTAAAGATAAGACACAAACAGAAATAGAATTGTTTTTAACTAGCCCTCTTCTATCTGGGAAAATACTATTTGCTATTTAATTATTAAGGCTAGAATTCTAGTCAAAGCAACATAACAAGACCTTGTCTCTACAAAAAAATCAAAAAAGGCCGGGGTCAGTGGCTCAGCCTGTAATTCCAGCACTTTGGACGGCTGAGGCGAATGGATTGCCTGAGCCCGCAGGTTCAAGACCAGCCCAGGCAACTTGGCAAGACCTCGTCTCTACAATAAATCAAAAATTAGCCGGGCATGGTAGCGCACTCCTGTAGTTCTGGCTACTTGGAAGGCTGAGGCAGAAGGATCTCCAGAGCCCAGTAGGTCAATGCTGGGGTGGCTATGAGCATGCCACTGCACTCTAGCCTGGGCGATGGAGTGAGACTCCAACTCAAATAAAATAAAATAATTAGCAAGGTTGGTACTGCACACATGTAGTCCTCACTACTTGGGAAGCTGAGGGATTGCTTGAGCCTGGAGGTCAAGCTGTGAGCTTGCCCCTGCACACAAGCCTGAGTGTCAAAGTAAAATCCTGACTTGAAAAAACAAAAAAAGACTAGAATTAAACTCATTTTATTGTCTTTGGAACAACGGGTTTTTTTAGTCAAGGTCTCACTCTGTCACCCAGACTGGAATGCAGTGGCACGATCACGGCTCACCACAGCCTCGACCTCCTGGGCTCAGGTGATCTTCCACTGCAGCTTCCCAAGTAACCAGCACCACAGGCACATGCCACCAAACCTGGCAAATTTTTCGTAGAGATGAGTTCTCATTATGTTGTGTAGCTTGGTCTCAAACTCCTGAACTCAAGCAGTCCTCCGGCCTTGGCCTCCCAAAGTACTGGGATGACAGGTGTGAACCACTGTGCCCAGCCAGAAAATGTATTTAAAGATCTAGAGAGGGGAGCTGTTGTAAAATAAAACACTTTAAAAATTAATCATTCAGTCCAAAGTATACATTATCTATTTTCATTTAAAACCTACTGACTTGCTGGCCATGGTGGTCCACTCCTGTAATACCAACACTTTGGAAAGCGGAGGTGAGAGGATTGCCTGAGCCCAGGGATTCGAGACCAACCTGGGCAACTTCGCAAGACCCCATCTCTACAATAAATCAAAAAATTAGCTGGGTGTGGTGGCGCTCCTATAGTTTCAGCTACTTAGAAGGCTGAGGCAGAAGGATCCCCTGAGCCCAGCAGGTTTTGAGAAGGTGGTGGCCGTGAGTGTGCCACTGCACTCCAGCCTGGGTGACAGTGAGACTTCAACTAAAAAAAAAAAAAAAAAAAGACTTACTAACTTGTCTAAGACCTGTTCCTGCTTTGTTATTTAAATGATATTTTCTTATAGGATGCCTATGAGAATTTTAGTATTGTGCAGATTAATGATAGAACCACAATTTTGTTGAGTAGAGGAAGGGGAGGTGAAAATATGACTGTACATAATCAGAATTTTGGATATTGCAATTTTGCTCTAAAGATCTGTTCTAATTTTAGTTCCATGTTTTTGAATCTGATCCTTCAGTTCAGCCAAAGTAATAGACACAAAGCAATGAGATTGTTAAGAAAAAATGGTTAAATCTTTTTCTGGATTATTTTTGCTTTGTAGTTTCCAAGATTCTTGGCACTGATAGTAGTGTTCAAATTTGAGCTGTGAAAACAGCCTGCTAATGGTAGACTTTTCTGTTTTATTAATTGATGGTGCCCACAAAATGCTTATTTTACTGATCCACTTATAACTTTCTCTTAATTCCTTTGACAGGATATCTACAGAGAAATGGGGTTTGGTCATTATGAAGAAGAAGAAAGCTGTTGGGAGAAACAAAAGAGTGAAAAAAGAGACCGACCTCAGAACCGAAGTCGTAGCCGATCTCGAGAAAGGGATGGCCATTATAGTAATAGTCACAAGTCCAAATACCAAGCAGATCCTTATGAAAGGGAAAGGAATAAAAAGAGAGACCGAAGTAGAAGTCCAAAAAAATCCAAAGATAAAGAAAAATCTAAGTATAGATGAAAGACACAGAGCATAAATAAGTGGTTAACATATTTTACTCTTGTCTAAGCAGATCTCAGATTTTTTGTCAAAGCAGCTAAAAACTCTGCTTGTTTTTTTTTCATACTAGGATGATGGCCCTTTTAGAGTAATACTGATTATGTAGGGCACTGAAAGATGAAGAATTGAACATTTTCCTTGTATACTTTTTTTTACACTAATTGTATTGTTATACATAAATGGTAGTCTTCATTTTAAAGTCTTTGACATTTTCAACTTCTTTTTGAATAAGTATTTCATACTCAAAAAATACACAAACATGTATATACAAGATATAAGGAATAATAAATGTAAGTATCTGTATACCCATCAGTCCACTTAAAAAATAGAATGTTACCTACATTTTAGACATCCCCTAAGTGCCCTCTCTCTCAAGTAATTGTTCTGAATTTTATTTTTGTCATTTGCTTGTTATAGTTATATTACATGTGTATGTATCCCTAAATGAAAAGTTAATTTTGTATGTTTTTGAATTTTATATAAATGGCATAATGTATGTTTACTTCTGAGACTTCCATTTTTCAATTTAGAATTTTTTAGGAGTCAATCTTTTTTTTTTTGAGTTGGAGTCTCACTCTGTCGCCCAGACTGAGTGCAGTGGCCGCTCCCAGCCACTGCAGCCTCGACCTGCTGGGCTCCGGTGATCCTCCTGCCTCAGCCTTCCAAGTAGCTGGAACCTGTAATGTTTCTATAGTGTTGACTTAACTTTCTTCGATAAGGTAGATGAGTTTTTGTTTTTACTATGTTGTAAAAGCCAATTCCTGCAAAGAACTGGCAGATGTCATTTTTCTCTGACTGCTTTTAAGGTTTTCTCTTTTTTTTTTTGAATTGAAGTTTCACTCTGTTGCCCAGGCTGGAGTGCAGTGGCACTCCTGACCTACTGTGCTCAGGTGATCCTTCCACCTCAGCCTTCCAGGTAACTGGAACCACAGGCGCATACCTGCATGCCTAGCTAATTTTTTTGATTTATTGTAGAGATGAGGTCTTGCCAAGTTACCTGGGCTGTTCTGGAACTCCTTTTTTTTTTTTTTTGTGAGTTTAAGTCTCATTCTGTCACCCAAACTGGAGTACAGTGGCACGTTCCCGGCCACCGCAACCTCGACTTGCTGGGCTCCAGTGATCCTTCTGCCTCAACCTTTCAAGTAGCTGGAACTACAGGCATGCGCTACCACACCCGGCTAATTTTTTATTTTATTGTAGAGATGAAGTCTCACCAAGTTGCCCAGGCGGGTCTCGAACCCGCGGGCTCAGGCAGTCCGCTCACCTCAGCCTCCCAAAGCGCTGGGATTACAGGCTGAGCCACTGAGCCCGGCTTGTTCTAGAACTCTTAGGCTCAGGAAGTCCTCTTGCTTAGCCTCCCAAAGTGTTGGGATTACAGGCATAAGCCCCCATGCCTAGCTAAGGTTTTCTCTTTATCCCTGGTTTTAAGCAATTGGATTATCATGTGCTGGGTGTGGTTTTTTTCTTGTTTTTTATGCGGCACTGTTTACCTCCATATTTACTGTTTCCATCAAGCTTGGAGATTTGGGGGCAGTTTTTCTTCAGTTATCTTCTATCTCTCTGGGGCTCCAGTTACCTGTATGCACATGTGGCCACTCAAAGTTGTCTCACAGCACACTGGTCTCCACTGCGTCTTTTTACAGGCCTCTTTTCATGTTGGGTAGTTTCTGTGTTTCATTCGGGTAGTTTCCGTTGTCATGTCATTAATCATCTCAGTCATTCTGTTTTTAATCTTCAGAAGTTCTATTTGGGTCTTTATCTTTCCCATCTCTCCTTCACAGGCTCATGCTCTTCTCCATTTTGCTTAACATCTGGAGTAGATTTGTAATAGCTGTTTTAAGTACTTGCCCATTCTGTCATCTGTATCATTTCTGGTCTATTTCAACTGATTGATTCCCACTGTACTCCACCACCGTCCACCCAACATTAGGTTGTAATTTCCTTCCTTACATGCCTGGTAATTTTTGGTTTTTACATTGGGTGCTGGAGTTTCTGTATTCCTTTCAGTACCTTGAGTTCTGTTCTGGGACATAATTAAGCTGCTTGGAAACAGTTTGACCCTTTCATAGCTTGCTTTCAAGCTTAGTGAGATAGGACCAGAATGGCCTTTCATCTAGAGCTAATGTGACCCACTACTAAGGCAGGACTCTGAATAATCTTCCCTGCTATACTATTTTCCACACTGGCTGCTGGAATGTGAACCATTCTGAACCCTATGTGAGCTCCCAAATTGTACCTCCTGGTTTCTTTCCCAGGCTTGGGAAGTTTTCTCACATGCATACACTCTGTGGTATTTGGCTGAAAACTCAAGGGGAGCCCTTTGTAGCTCCTTCCTCTCCATATCTTACTCGGCTTCCCTAAATTGTTTACACAGGGAGATTCCCAGACTCTTGTTGGATTCCCTTTCCCTACCCTAGTGCTACACAGTAGAACCCCATGTAGTCAGTTTGGCAATTGTGGGGCTTTCCTTGTTTATTTTCCTTCTCAAGAGTCACTGTCCTGCACTGGCTGTTCCATGGCTGAAAGAATTTGTTGTATACATTGTACAGGTTTTTAGTTTAACATGGAGAAAGTAAATCCTGTCTCTGTTACTCCATTTTGATCTAGAGTGGAAGTTGTCGTTTGAATTTGTGTTTTCTAAATGCTACAAGGATGAGCATCTTTTCACATGTGTATGATATTTATTTCTGTTTGCTCTGTGAAAAAGCTTGTTTCATGTCTTCTGTCCATTTATTTTAGGTTATTTTATTTTTGTTTTATTAAATAGAGGTGGGGTCTTGCTTTGTTGTCCAGGCTCGTCTCCAACTCTAGCAATCCTCCTGCCTTGGGCTCACAAAGTGCTGGGATTACATGAGCCACTGCTCCTGGTCAGGTTGTTGTCTTTTTCTTACTGATTTCTTTAAGGAGTTTTTTTAAAAAATAGATTGTGGATACTAAGAATAAGTTAGGGGATGTTCTCTCTCTCTGTCTCTATTCTCTTTGAAGAAAAAAAGGTTTAAATTATCTGTCCCTTAAAAGTTAGGTAGAGCTTGCCTGTAAAATTGTATGAAATTTGTATTTCCTTTGTGCGACAATTTCTTAAGTATTGATTAGATTTCAAAGATTATAGAATTATGTCTTTATATTTCTTTAGTGTTAGTCATTTTTATTACATTTTTCTGCGAATTTGGTAATTTTTTTAATGTCTTTAATTTATTGATGAAATTTCTCATAGCTGGTAGGGTTTTACTATCCTTTTATTTTTACTTTATTGATGAATGTCTTTTTTTTTTAATAGCAAAAAGATCTTGCTGTATTGCCTAGGCTGGTCTTGAATTCTGGGTTTCAAGCAACCCTCTCACCGTGGGCTCCCCCACAGTGCTAGGATTACAGGCATGAGCCACTGTGTCCAGCCTTGATAAATGTCTTTATGTTTTAGTGTGTCTCCTAGACAGTATATAGCTAGATTCTTGTAAAATCTAATCTTAACTTTAACTGGTGAGTTTAGTGCATTTTGATATGTACTGATATATTGGGATTTTTTATTTCTACCATTTGGATTTATTTATTTTGTGCTTTTTCTGGCCCACCTCCCAACCCCCCACTCATTCTTTTGGAGGAATTAATATTTTTAAATGTTTCAATTCCACTCCTTCTCCCTTGCTTTTGAATCTTACCATTCATACTTAGTGTAATGCTAGTGTCTTTACCTTCCTTTCTAATTGTGAATCTTGGAACTTTTTAGGTCACCTCTCTTAGAACTTTTGTGTTATAATCATTCAGTATTTCAGTCTTAGCTTGTGATTTTTAATCTTAAAGTTAGACCTTGAACTGGGCATGGGAGCACATGCTTATAGTCCCAGCTACTCGGAGGCTGAGGCAGGAGGATCCTTTGAGGCCAGGACTTTGAAGCTGCAGTGAGCTATGATCATGCCCATGAATAGCCACCATCCAACCTGGGCAACATAGTGAGACTCTGTCTCTTAAAAAAATAAATAAAATTAGACCAGTGACAATCTGTTGATGGTAAGCTCTTAGTTTCTGTTTATAAAAAATGTTTGTAATTCACCCACATCCTATAAAGTTGATTTTTGATATGCATAATTCTAAATTGACAGGTTTTGGTTTTTTTCAGTACTTTGAAGACACCATTCTACTGTCTTTTGACTTTTATTACTGCTGTAAAGAAATCTGTTGTCATCCAAATGCCATTCTTTTGGATGTAATGTGACTTTTCTTTGTGGCTGCTTTTTTGCTGTTGTTAATTAAACTTTTGATTTTGAAGTTAATTATAGATTCACATGCAATTATAAGAAAGAATTCAGAGAGACTCTGTGTACCCTTTACTAGTTTCTCCCAATGGCCATCTTATAAAACTATAATACAATGTCACAGCCAAGATGTTGACATTGACACAGTGAAGATACAGAATGTTTCCATCACTGTAAGGACCTCTCGTGTTGTCCTTTTATAGCCGCACCTACTTGCTGCTGCTTCATTTCCTCTTGAATGTGTAGCTGATCTTCTCCACTTACTTCACTCAGACTCATTACTGATCTCTGGAAACACCCTCAGAAACATTCATACTAGAATACCAAGTTTCTATGTGTTCCTTAATCAGTCAGGTTGGCACTTAAAACTAAATCCAAAAGTCCACCCTTTGTCAGTTTGGTGCCCCTACATATCCCTTAAACTATCTTTCATTCCCAAATAAAGATAATAACAAAGCAGTAGTTCTGCTTAACATGATGCAGCTGTCCTGTAACTGTGATTTTCAGGATTTTAGACATTAAAAATTTTAGACTTTGAGAATTTAGACTTTAGGGGTTTTGATCTTTCAGGATTTCAACATTCAGGATTATGGTATTCAGGATTGTGTCTTTTGGGATTATCCCCTGTTAGGATTGGCTTTGTTTTTCCCCGACTCCGGAAGTTCTTCAGGTTGTTGCATGTATCAATAGTTCGCTCATTTTTATGGTTGAATAGTATTCCATGGTATGAATATACCACAGTTTGTTGAACCATTCACTCACTGAAGGACATTTGGGACAATAATGAATAAAGCTGTTGTCAGTCTTTGTGTCAACATAGTCTTCTTTTTCTTGGATAACTGCACAGGAGTGCAGTCATTAGGTCCTGCGGTAACTGAATTGTTTAAAATTATTCTGGAACCTCTCTGCCATTTTCTTTTCAAAATTTTCTCTCCCCTATTCTGTGTTTCCTTTTGCAATCTTTATGTAAAGCTTTCTTACTCTGTTCTTTGGTACCTCACTGCTCATGTTTTCCATATGGTGCATTCTGAGTAATTTTTTTTAGGTCATTTAGCCTTCATATAAGCCCAATCTGCTATTTAACCTGTCCTCTGAATTTCAGTGATTTATTTTTATAATTTTATATATTCTGCTTGATTCTTTTTTGAATTTGCCTGGTTATTTTTTATTTTCTGTTGTTTCTTGCTCATTTATTTCCACTCTGCCTTTTTACATTTATTTATATTGTGTTTTTGATCATTTCAA